TGTGTGTGTGTGTGTGTAAGCGAAAATTTCATTTAATAAATGTATACGTCTCAAGCTTTGTCAAAATGTCCAACTTTAACAACTGCAGTGTTTAATGTTTTTTGTTAAACGCGACGGTGCTCAGTGAGACCAGCGAGACCAACTTTGATAGTAATTCAATTCACCTTTTACAATCATTCATCAGCACCGTTTTCAATTGTACTTTTTGTTGTGTCTGTTTATATTGTTTTATAAGAGAACATAATTGAAATGAAATTGCCATCATCATCTTAATCATCAAAACCTTCATCACAACCATCATCATCGTCGTCATATGATCATCATTTATCATCATCATGCATAGTCATCTTGAGTCCCCCGTTGGGGAGAAAAGCCATAATTCGTCGGAGAGAAAAACATTTATGTGTATTTTTCACACACAGTATTAGTAGACTCCAAAACTGATTAAAAGCCTTTGAAACCCCTAAATTGTCAGAAGCCCCCTGGAACACTTTCAAGAGATTTTGAGCAACGCCCGACTACGCCCCCTTTTTTTCGTCGAGGACATGGGACCACCACTGATCATCATAACCATCATAATCATCGTCGTCCTGATCATCATCATCATCATCATTGTAATATTCATATCCATCGTCATTTAATCATTATCACCATCATCATCATCATCATCATCATAGATGTGCCTGACACAGACATATTGATCAAACAGGCTCTGTTAAGTCGAAAAACAATATTATTGCTTTTGGCAAAATCTTCTAGTTGTTGAATGTGACACTCGTGTACATTTTCATTATTTTCATTACAACATGTTTGTTTTCAAGGGTTACTTTTCCTCACATTCGCGCTGTAACATCCCTGCGGCAGGAAGCTTATAAGGTGGCCTGTGGTTGGATGAATCATAAGACTTGCACAAGATACAGGTATTATAGGTTTTTTTTTATAATCTGTTTTGGTAATTTTATTTAAGTCTATTATTTGTTATATTGTTATTATATGGTTATGGCTATTATTCTCCTGAAGACGATTGAAGCATCTCAATCGAAACGTCGAGACTTTCTCAACAACAACAGTTCTTTTCAGAACTATTTACGTGGTGTACCGCAAGCTTCAACATTAATGAAATCGTTAATGAAATGTACAGAACTATTGGCATCATATGAACAAAGCAATCATAAAGGTGACTAGATATATATATATATACATATATATATATATATATATATATATATATATATATACGAGATATAGACTAGATATATATATATATATATATATATATATATATATATATATACACATATATATATATATATAGTTATTATTAACATTTATATTATGTTTATTACCATGTCCGTTGATATCTAATAATAATTATAAAAAATAATGTGAAAATAATTACCGTATGATAGTAATATTTATATATTGTTTTTATTGTCATTATAAATAAAAAATGGTATTTAATAATTATGCTTTCAAATTAATTTTTGTTATTTTATTGTCACTATTATAGTACTATAACAATTACTATTACTATATATAATATTCAATACCGCTTTCCAATTATTTTATAGTTAGCGCGCCACTCATAATGACGTGTTCTTATAAATGGAACAGTTGAGTGAATGATTGCTTGTATAATTGCTTGATTGATTGATTATACCATGACAAAGACTGAAAATAGGAAAATTGAGACTAGCTTTTCTTTATACATATTTTTAAATGTTTTAGTAATAAACACAGTAGGCTATACTATTTAATATAATTTAAAGGCAAATAAATTTAATATAATACCAAGTCCTACGTTAAAATCACTAAATTTAATTCCTCTTCTAGGCCTGTATATTACAACACGTATGCTTTGCGTCTAGAAGTTATCACTAGAAAGGTCTTACACTGTTGTCCCGGTTACAGGAATGACACGGGTACCTGTATTCGTAAGTTAACTAATGCTTTTTTTGGGAGCATCCTATAAATTCGTAATGGGTCTTTCCAGAATGTCAATCGAATTTAACAACTGACCAATCAGAATAGGGCAATGAATATGCGCTTGTCGGACAAGCACATGTGTTGTCCTGCAAAGGCACGTGCAACATACCCAAGGGGCGGTCTAAAGCCTGTTTTCCACTAGGCGAATTTATTCACGCGAATCCAAAGCGTCGGCTTATGCCGCATTCACATTAATATCGGAGTTTTTGCGAAGAGAAAAAATGCGCAACCAATCAGAGCTCAGGAAGCGAACTGACGCCTTGATTCGCGCGAACAAATTCGCCTTAGTGGAAAGGTCCACTTGCGTGCCTAATCCTACTTGCAATTCTCAACACTGTTATAGCATCAAAGTATACAATTATTTGTATAGCTCTACCTAAATGTTATAGTAGGCGGTACTAATTAAAGATCCTATTAAAGTAATCGGCGTATGTTCGTCTCCCACCCTCAGCCCACAGTTTTCCCTCCTATTCAAATTAGGCCTCTCTATAAAATGCATAATTATATTGAATTTGTTTGTCACAAGCATCATATAGATATCTTTTACATTCTTGTAGCGGTCTGTGACCCACCATGTAAATATGATGGCGTATGCTCTTCCCCTGGTATATGTCAGTGCGTCGCAGGATACTCAGGACCCTCTTGTCAGTTTAGTGAGTGAAGACTTCATTATTTGTAGTATCTATTCATATGAATTTAATGATGTCATTATTTATTTGTCTAGCTTAAAAGTATATTTGATTCTACCTAATATTAGCACACTTTCTCTTTTATATATGTTGCGTTTTGTTTTTTGTATTTAGATAACGGCTAAACCAATTGCAAATTTCAAAATAAAATGTAGGCAAGTTGAATGCGATGTGTTGAAGTTTAGTTTATTATGAAGTGAAATTAATAGTTTAATAACGTGTTTATAGGTTGTTCGGATAACACGTTCGGCATCGAATGCCTGGAAAATTGTGACTGCTCTAACGGTGGGACTTGCGATAGTATGATTGGTAAATGCACTTGTACAGACGGCTTCTATGGCATCAAATGCGAACACGTCTGCCAACCTGGAACCTATGGAGAAAGCTGCATCAAATTATGCCAGTGTCAAAACAGCGCAACTTGTGATCCAGTCGACGGTCTTTGTACTTGCACGTCTGGCTTCAGGGGTGAATTTTGTCAAACTATTTGTCGGCCAAATTTCTTTGGCTTAAGGTGCGCTAAAGAATGTCGTTGTCAAAATGGAGCATATTGTAATCCTGTAGATGGGACGTGCGACTGTGCGCCCGGGTATAAAGGGAACTTTTGCGAAAATCTTTGTCCCACTGGCTACTATGGACTTGCGTGCTCTAAATTGTGTTCGTGTTTGAACGGTGCAGCTTGCGACAATGTAGATGGCACGTGTTATTGTGCACCTGGGTATAGAGGTGTTACTTGTGCAGATATATGTCAGCGTGACACATATGGAGATAACTGTGCAAATGAATGCACTTGTCAGAACGGAGATTGTGATCACGTGTTAGGGACATGTAATTGTTTTACGGGCTGGCAGGGCGCCGACTGCAACATACCATGCAATGCCGGTACATATGGAGAGGGATGTCAGGAAGTATGTATTTGCAAAAACGGTGGTGTATGCAACCATGTATCAGGTGTTTGTCGTTGTCCTCCTGGATGGAGAGGCATTGACTGCAGTTCAAGCTGTCCTGAGGGTACCTATGGGTTCAAGTGTAATAAGCGTTGTGTTTGTCAGAATGAGGCAGTTTGTGACAATGTGGATGGGTCATGTACATGTACAGCAGGGTGGACTGGAAGCCTGTGCAGCCAGCCATGTCCAAAAGGAAAATACGGGTTAAATTGCGCGGAAATATGTCCTTGTAAAAATGGAGCCCGATGTCACCATATTAGTGGCAAATGTACTTGCACCTCAGGTTGGCAGGGTGATTTCTGCTCTAAACCTTGCCCTGCAGGAAGGTATGGCCTTAAATGTCGTTCAGTGTGTACTTGTGAAAACAATGCTCAATGCGATCACGTAGATGGCACGTGTACGTGCTCGCCCGGATGGCAGGGTAATCAATGTTCAAGTCCGTGTGGTCCAGGTACATTTGGCTATGAATGTGCACAGCAATGTCGCTGTCTGAACCAAGGAACTTGTAGCCATATTGACGGACGATGTACATGTGTTGCCGGCTATTATGGTCCTGCTTGTAACGAAGAATGTCCAGAAGGCTATTACGGACTTAATTGTTTATCTGAATGTGAATGTGAAAACAATGCTTTGTGTGACCATCGAAACGGTGTGTGCTCTTGTAAACCAGGATGGAGGGGAAACACTTGTGACACGCCTTGCCAAGAAGGGCGTTATGGTGACAACTGTGCGTTCCGGTGCAAATGTGATAACGAAGGCATCTGCAACCATATTGATGGCTCTTGCTCTTGTGTGGCTGGTTACCAGGGCCTGACATGTAACATTCCTTGTAGCTTAGGGTTCTATGGCTTTGAGTGCCTTTATGTATGTCAGTGTCAGAATGGAGCAACGTGTAATCCCGTTGACGGCAGCTGTTTTTGTTCTCCTGGTTGGCAAGGAACCTTGTGTGACGAACCATGCCCAGATGGATTCTACGGTGATCAGTGTGCAAAACGGTGCCCTTGTTTGAATGGTGGTATTTGTGACATAGTTGATGGAACATGTACATGTGCACCGGGTTGGAGAAGCTTCTGTGGCGAGCCGTGTCCAGATGGAACATTTGGTCAAGGATGTGAAGGAAGATACCAGTGTCAAAATGAGGCAAGCTGTGACCGATTTGACGGACGCTGTGCCTGCACCACTGGTTGGTTTGGAGCCTCTTGTGACGCAGCCTGTGAGGCAGGATTCTATGGAGCTCATTGCACACTGACATGTGAATGTTTAAATGGCGCCACCTGTAGTCGGTTTGATGGTAGTTGTGAATGTTCAAATGGATACACCGGAGAACAATGCGGGCTGCTCTGTCCACAAGGGTATTTTGGTGAAAATTGTGAGAGCCGTTGTCGCTGTTATCATAATGCTGAATGCTCTCCATTTGATGGCACGTGCAGCTGTCCAGCCGGATGGAGTGGAGACAGATGTGGCACGCCGTGCGAAGCAGGATTGTTTGGAGTCCAGTGCTTGGAGCGATGTAGGTGCCAGAATGGAGGAGCTTGTTCTAGATTTGATGGGGCATGCACATGCACAAACGGATGGCAAGGCGAATTGTGTAACCGTGAATGTGAACCGAATCGATGGGGACATAAATGCCAAGAATTATGCTTGTGCGAAAACGATGCAACTTGCTCGCGGTTTGATGGTACTTGCAGTTGTGGGTATGGTTGGTATGGCGAGCACTGCAATACGCCCTGTCCTGAAAATAGATATGGACTTGGATGTACCCAACGATGCAAATGCAAAAATAATGCAGAATGTTCAAAAATTGATGGAACCTGTACATGTGGAGTTGGTTGGACTGGGAACCAATGTGACATTGCTTGCCCGACCGGTCTTTATGGTGCAGAGTGCAAAAGCACCTGCTTATGTCAGAACGGAGGAACGTGCAACAGATTCGACGGCACTTGCCATTGCCCACCCGGTTGGCAGGGGATTTATTGCAGTACTGAATGCAGTCCCGGGACTTACGGTGAAGCATGTGAACGCAAGTGTCTTTGCAGAAATGACGCAGAGTGCTCTCACATCGATGGTGTTTGCACCTGTACAACTGGTTGGTCTGGTGTAAGATGTGACGAGCCGTGTAGACAAGGGTTGTTTGGTCCTGATTGTAATTCAAGATGTAAGTGTCGCAATGGTGCATCATGTTCGCGATTCGACGGTACATGCACCTGTCCAGCCGG